CCTGTTCTCTCACTTCTCTGTCTGCAGCGAGTCGCTCCACACAAACGAAGAACGCTACTTCCTGTCTCTCTCCGCGTGTCGTGGTTTCAGGGTACCGTACGGATAGGTAAACTGTTGTGAACGTGTGCGCCGTGTTTTTCTTCTCTCCTGAAAGTTTGTTTCCCTGCCAGGTTGAACATTTAGATTCAGTCTAGAACCATTTATTGATGTAAAATGAACATTTAATTACCAGTTTGATTCATCAGCTGATACTTAACCATTTTAACCTGATCATTAAAGTCCATAAACAAAAGCTGTTCCCTTTCAAAGGGAACTCGCACTGCGTCAAATGACGCTTTAAGGAGACGCAGTGTCTCGATCCCTGTTTTCAGGGAACATAGGTTACAGTTGTAACCTGTGTCGTTTCTATTGAAAGTTTGTTTTTTTCTTAGTTGTATACAAACAATATAAAAATGTCAATATAATGTTTTTGTTGTATTTTTTCACATTAAAATTAATTAAAATAATATATTGTTAGGATATAATACTTTCTTTTTTGTTGTATATATAAAAATTAATTTAAAAAATAATACAACAAATTTGAATATTGTCAATGTATAATGTTATTGTTTTTTTTCCATATAATATATATATATATATATATATATATATATATATATTTTTTTTTTTTTTAAATAATACAAAGTTGGAATAAAATACTTTTTTGTTGTTAAGAAAATATTATTAAAAATGATACAATATTTTTGGGAATATTGTCATTGTTTAGCCAATTATTTCAAAACAATTATATATAAAGTTAGAATACAATACTTTTTTGTTGTATATTATTTGGTTTTTGTAGTTTTTTTTTATTTTTTATATAATGCTGTAGTATAATGTTAGGTTTTAGTTTTTCATATAAAAACGAAAATATTTAACAAAAATATTTTAAAAATAATAATATACTACTCTGGGAAACAGGCAAAATGGTAATAATGGGACTTTATTGAGCATATATTATTATAGAAATTGGTAAATATATTATGAGCGTGAGTGTTTTTATTATTTTTAATTGCTTTTTGCATGTAGCCACTGTGTAAATGTAAAATGAGCGAATTCTGACAGGTATTGCTTCCTGATTCTTAATATTTACTTGGAAAATGCATATGCATATTTGAGGACATAGAATTTCCATATCACTGTGGAAACGTTGCCATGGCAGCCGCCTCTCCTGCTGTCTTGGAGTGTTTTTTTTCTCAATGACGAGAGCTATAATAGATTTAGTCTTTTTTAAGCCCTAGATCGTCTGTAACTCGAGGCGTCGCTGACATATCAAAGACGAGCGCCGCCGAGCCACATCAATTTGCCATTCATTTGAAGAAATGAACGCTTCCAATTTCGTTAGCAGACAAATGCGAGTGTCAGAGGACGGAAAGCGTCTCCTAACTGAGATGTTCAGAAACATGCGGCTGAGATCCGGTTTAATGTCGGCTCTTCCAGGGGGAAATGAAAACTGACTCCAAGCTACACCAAGGTCATGGCTTTGATTCCCAGGGATTACATGAACTGAAAACAAACTCGAAAAAAAAGTACATTAGTAGTTTTGTTGTAGTTTTTGTCTTTTTAAAGTTTCGTGGAGTGATCTTGCTTTGTTTAACAGACACATGGCTGAGAGAGAGAGATGGGATGACAGAAGGATGGATGAATAATGTATATCCTTATGCTCAATAAACGTTTTCTTCTGCCAGACTTTACTCTGTAACACTCCTCTATGTAGTTTTGCGTTATGATGTATGTAGCGGATGGCTTGTCATTTCTCTCGCTTCGTTTCTGTTCATTTCTTTAATTCTTTTCTTATGAAGAAAAATAAGCATTGTCTCTGTTTTTCCAAGAACATCTGCTTGAGTCTCATGAAACAACTCATATTTCATCCTAAAAAAATAAAATAAAATGAAAGCTTCAAGTCATACAAAACATCATATTTTTTCACCTATTTTTAGGATCATCATCACACACTCTTTAAAAAAATGCTGGGTTGTTTTAACCCAATTTTGGGTCAAATATGGACAAACTCAAACATTGGGTTAAAAATGTAATTTATAAACGTAACCAAATAGCTAGGTTTGTCCACATTTGACCCAAAATTGGGTTAAAACAACCCAGCATTATTTTAAAGTGTAATGGACAAAGGATCCAGATCCAAATACCTCTGTGTGGGTGACACACACATCTTCAGCTTTTACATAAAAGACAGTAGAGCTGTCTTTCAAAGAGTAATCGAGGGATTTCGCACTTTACGTTTTCGTTCCTGAAAGTTCGAGCCGTTTCTTCCATCTTCTCTCTCTCGAATCCCTGATGAGTCACACCATCTGTCCACTTTCTCCCCTCTCTCTCTCTCTCCGTCTCTCTGTGTCTCAGTGTGAGATGGAGACGGGACACTGTGTCCTCTGTGCGATGGTGGACATGGTCTGAATGACAAGATGGTGGTGCTATTGAGTATGGACAAAACTTTCGGTAGCTCTCTCTCAAACCTAGTGCACTGTCTACATAGAAAGCATTTTAAGACATCATAGACATGTTGACCAAGGAGAATGTTCTGAATAAAGAGAACTGTTAGCTTACAACATGCTAATGACAAAAAGTACTGCGGCAGTATTTAACATATTTGCCTATGTTTAGGTATATTTTGCTATTGTCAATTTGAGTATCATTTTGGTGTACTGTTAGCTTAGCAACATGCTAACACAAACTCCTCTACATGGGCAGCATCATATAAATGGAGTTTGCGTTAGCACGTTGCTAAGCTAACAGTGCAACACAATGATACTCAAATCGACAACAAATACATACTCTCATGTTCTCTCTTATAAGGTTCCTGTTTTGATGCTGCCTCGCTAGGTTTTATGTTTTGCTTGTTTCACACCATCATTAGCATATCCGTGAGAGCTAGGACTCTTTCGGAGGTGGCAAGCTGACGGCATCTTATAGCGCTGCTGTTCTGAGTAGGATGTTAGGTTCACATATTCATGGCCATTTCTGTGGGTAGCAATGTGTGCGCTTACTAGCACCACGCTAATGCTCATGTGTGGATGTTAGTCAGGACAGTTTAGACATTATTTCAGTGATGATTTCTTCATGCTCAGTCCATCATGTTGAATCCGTCCACTAGCCGTCTAAACTGGCTCAACACAACCCGAAGGCGGCTTTCTCCCGCAGGCCTTCCAGACTGCTGATAAAAACTTCATAAACACTGAGAGACTGATCTCAGCAGCCGTAACTCAGTCATTTCTCAGAGATTCTCAAGTAAAGATGATTAAAATAATTAATTCAATAACCTGAATGATTAGCATATTCAAATATCATGCAAACAACCTAGCATTTGAATATGCTAATCATTCTACAAGATTAGCATATGTTTACCAGATTAGTGAGATTACCATGGTACGTGGTGTCCAGCACATGCTAGGCACATTTTGTAATTGAAAGTCTTGTAACTGTCTAGAATTCTAAGAGAGAGACATATTATCTTGTTTCCGTTCTGTTGTAAGCTAATTTTGTTTGTGTTGCCATCTTTTGTTTGCTCTTTTTTATATTTTGTGTGTTGTACGGGAGAAATGAAACGTGCTTTGATTCATACATATCTTTCATGAAGTTTATTTAGGCTATTTTCATTAGAGTTAAACATTCACTGTCTCCATTAGGCCGATGTAGATCAAATATTACGACGTGACGCGTCATAGAACCTTCTAGTGATGGAATAGATAAATACACCAGCGCCCTCTTCTGGTTAACACACTAATCTCACATTTGCACAGTTGTTTGTGGTACATATTTATGTGACTAAAATGTAACAAATTGCTTTTTAGAAAATTAATGAATACATTTACTGGGGTTTAGGCTTTGAATAAGTAAAAAGAATATTGAAAAATATGTTTTTTTTATATATATATATATTTGGAATTTTATTAATGTATTATACACTTTTATATATACATTTGCATAATTTATATACTTTTATTCTATATTTATTTTTAAGATGTATTTTCAATATGTGAAATCTTGAAAACAACCTTTGTGATGTCTTTTCTATTTATTAATGTATCTTTTGACAAATCTCAGTAGCAAAAGTAACTTTTGCTTTTATGTAAGATCTTCCCAAAAGAATCTTTTATATTCATATATTTAAAAAAAAATATTAAAGCCAATGAGCGTATATAAAACTTTCAAAATACTAATCAGTGGACACTGAAACTAATCACAAAAAAAATCATATGTGAATAACACAAAACAAAACATTTTGATGTTACAGACATGTAAGCACATTGCAGGTATTGATTTGAAGTTAAATTATTTTAAATAATTTACCGTAAAACATGAAACTAGCACAGATAATAAGCAGTACCATTTTAGTATTTTTTTACATTTGAATTTTTTGTTAAAATTTTAACAATGTAATGTATTTTTGTCATATTAGTTTTGTTAATATTTATATTTAGCTTTCATTTATTTACATTTTAGTACTTCAATACAAGTTTACAGTCATCTCATTTAATTTGTGCTGTCAAATCAATTAATCACTATTAATTGCGTCTAACATAAAAGTTTGTTCATACATATATATTATATAATATATGTGTGTATTTTTACAAACATTTATTTTAGATGCGATAAATCGCGAGTAGTCGATTTGACAGCACTAATATTTATGTTTAATTTTATTTCAGCTTTCAATTATAGAAAATTATTTTAACAGTTAAATAAGGTAACAACACCAATGCTGCTAATAAAAAAGGCAAAAAAAATTATAATAAAATATGCAAACACATAATGTCATAATTGATTCATCAGAATCAATATTTCCATATTGTGATCAAATTGTTTTGCTATGTTCACGTGTTGACCACTAGATGGTAGCAAATCTGTACTGGTACTGCACTGGTAGCAAAAAAAAAGTACTCACCAGAAGGGTTTGAAAATAAAAGTTCAGTTTTTTTTTTTTTTTATTCTCTCTCTCTCTCTAGATCACGGGGGCGGTTCTGCTGGCAGTGGGATTATGGGGGAAGTTCATTTTGGGTCCGTACATCTCTCTGATCGCTGAAAACTCCACCAATGCTCCCTTCGTGCTCATCGGGACCGGGACTACGATCATCGTGTTCGGGCTGTTCGGATGCTTCGCCACGTGCCGCGGGAGTCCATGGATGCTCAAACTGGTGAGAGCCCACTTTTCCACTGATTTCACACTGGACATCAAGTGACGGCCCTAATGTGTCTCTCTCTGTCTGTAGTACGCCATGTTCCTGTCTCTGGTTTTCCTGGCAGAGCTGGTCGCTGGCATCTCGGGCTTTGTTTTCCGTCATGAGGTGAGACGTGCGCACGCAGGTTCTCCAGCGGGGATCTCCATCTGTCTCGCTCTATGAGGCCTTGTTCTGGTGACATGTGACGGAGTGTGTGCGTGTGTGTGTGTGTTCCCTCAGATCAAAGGCACCTTCTTGAGGACGTACAACGAAGCTGTTCAGAACTATAACACCCGGGATGAGAGAAGCATTGCGGTGGACAAAGTCCAGAGGAGTGTACGTTCAAACACTGGTTAACATCAGTTTATCTAATGTGATGTGTTCTAATGGATAACTAAGAACTACTTTTTTAAATAATCAGTATTGAAACTATGAAAAGGAGAGTTTATAATGACAAAATTTCCCATTGGCTAAAATGTTGATATCATAAAAGCCTTTTTTAAATCAAAAATAATGATTTGCCGATTTATATCGTTATCTTGAAAAGAAAATCACAGAGCACCCCTAGTCCCACTTTGGCAAAAAAAAATTAATTATAACTATCTTGTGGCCTCAAGATAGTAACTCGTGGCCTCAAGATACTATTTTGTGGCCTCAAGATAGTAACTCGTGGCCTCAAGATACTATATCGTGGCCTCAAGATAGTAACTCGTGGCCTCAAGATACTATTTTGTGGCCTCAAGATACTATTTTGTGGCCTCAAGATAGTAACTCGTGGCCTCAAGATAGTAACCCGTGGCCTCAAGATAGTAACTCGTGGCCTCAAGATAGTAACTCGTGGCCTCAAGATACTATATCGTGGCCTCAAGATAGTAACTCGTGGCCTCAAGATAGTAACTCGTGGCCTCAAGATACTATATCGTGGCCTCAAGATAGTAACTCGTGGCCTCAAGATAGTAACTTGTGGCCTCAAGATAGTAACTCGTGGCCTCAAGATACTATTTTGTGGCCCCAAGATAGTAACTCGTGGCCTCAAGATACTATATCGTGGCCTCAAGATAGTAACTCGTGGCCTCAAGATACTATATCGTGGCCTCAAGATAGTAACCCGTGGCCTCAAGATAGTAACTCGTGGCCTCAAGATAGTAACTCGTGGCCTCAAGATACTATATCGTGGCCTCAAGATAGTAACTCGTGGCCTCAAGATAGTAACTCGTGGCCTCAAGATACTATATCGTGGCCTCAAGATAGTAACTCGTGGCCTCAAGATAGTAACTTGTGGCCTCAAGATAGTAACTCGTGGCCTCAAGATACTATTTTGTGGCCACAAGATAGTAACTCGTGGCCTCAAGATACTATATCGTGGCCTCAAGATAGTAACTCGTGGCCTCAAGATACTATATCGTGGCCTCAAGATAGTAACTCGTGGCCTCAAGATAGTAACCCGTGGCCTCAAGATACTATATCGTGGCCTCAAGATAGTAACTCGTGGCCTCAAGATAGTAACCCGTGGCCTCAAGATACTATATCGTGGCCTCAAGATAGTAACTCGTGGCCTCAAGATAGTAACCCGTGGCCTCAAGATAGTAACCCGTGGCCTCAAGATACTATATCGTGGCCTCAAGATAGTAACTCGTGGCCTCAAGATACTATTTTGTGGCCTCAAGATAGTAACTCGTGGCCTCAAGATAGTAACTCGTGGCCTCAAGATAGTAACTCGTGGCCTCAAGATACTATATCGTGGCCTCAAGATAGTAACCCGTGGCCTCAAGATAGTAACTCGTGGCCTCAAGATAGTAACTCGTGGCCTCAAGATACTATATCGTGGCCTCAAGATAGTAACTCGTGGCCTCAAGATACTATATCGTGGCCTCAAGATAGTAACTCGTGGCCTCAAGATACTATATCGTGGCCTCAAGATAGTAACTCGTGGCCTCAAGATAGTAACTCGTGGCCTCAAGATACTATATCGTGGCCTCAAGATAGTAACTCGTGGCCTCAAGATACTATATCGTGGCCTCAAGATAGTAACTCGTGGCCTCAAGATAGTAACTCGTGGCCTCAAGATACTATATCGTGGCCTCAAGATAGTAACTCGTGGCCTCAAGATACTATATCGTGGCCTCAAGATAGTAACTCGTGGCCTCAAGATAGTAACCCGTGGCCTCAAGATACTATATCGTGGCCTCAAGATAGTAACTCGTGGCCTCAAGATAGTAACTCGTGGCCTCAAGATACTATTTTGTGGCCCCAAGATAGTAACTCGTGGCCTCAAGATACTATTTTGTGGCCCAAGATAGTAACTCGTGGCCTCAAGATACTATTTTGTGGCCTCAAGATAGTAACCCGTGGCCTCAAGATACTATATCGTGGCCTCAAGATAGTAACTCGTGGCCTCAAGATAGTAACTCGTGGCCTCAAGATAGTAACCCGTGGCCTCAAGATAGTAACCCGTGGCCTCAAGATACTATATCGTGGCCTCAAGATAGTAACTCGTGGCCTCAAGATACTATTTTGTGGCCTCAAGATAGTAACTCGTGGCCTCAAGATAGTAACTCGTGGCCTCAAGATACTATATCGTGGCCTCAAGATAGTAACCCGTGGCCTCAAGATAGTAACTCGTGGCCTCAAGATAGTAACTCGTGGCCTCAAGATACTATATCGTGGCCTCAAGATAGTAACTCGTGGCCTCAAGATACTATATCGTGGCCTCAAGATAGTAACTCGTGGCCTCAAGATACTATATCGTGGCCTCAAGATAGTAACTCGTGGCCTCAAGATAGTAACTCGTGGCCTCAAGATACTATATCGTGGCCTCAAGATAGTAACTCGTGGCCTCAAGATACTATATCGTGGCCTCAAGATAGTAACTCGTGGCCTCAAGATAGTAACTCGTGGCCTCAAGATACTATATTGTGGCCTCAAGATAGTAACTCGTGGCCTCAAGATACTATATCGTGGCCTCAAGATTTCTGGCGTTTTTGAGAAATCCTGGGTGGTTGTTAGGCAGTTGCAAGAATGTTATGGGTGGTTGCCAGGTAGTTGCTAGGGAGTTGTTAAAGGGATACTCCACTTTTTTTGGAAATAGGCTCATTTTACCACTCCCCTAGAGTTTAAACAGTTGAGTTTTACCGTTTTCGAATCCATTCAGCCGATTTTCTGATATTTAGAAGAATATCAGTAACCAGACAGTTTCTGGTCTCATTGACTTCCGTAGTAGGATAAAAAATATACTGTGGAAGTCAATGAGACCAGAAACTGTCTGGTTACTGATATTCTTCTAAATATCAAAAAAAAAATCGTCTGAATACATTCGAAAACGGTAAAACCCAACTGTTTAACTCTGGGGGAGTGGTAAAATGAGCCTATTTCCAAAAACATTGGAGTATCCCTTTAACAACTCCTTAGATGCAGATAGATCTCCTGTCACCTGTTGTGACCTCTGGTCTGAGTTCTCTCTCTCTGTATGTCTTTAGTTGCGTTGTTGCGGTGTTCTGAACTACACCAGCTGGTTCTCCAGTGTTTATTACCCCGCGAATGGACTTCCTCCGAGCTGCTGCGCTAACATCTCCGACTGCAACGCCTCAGACCTGAGAAACGCCACCATAGCGCCCACCAAAGTCTATCAGCAGGTAACACACATTCGCACAAACACACAGTCTGACTGTGTGACTTTTCATCTATTTAAAACGATTCTGTTGTTTTCAGGGCTGCTACGAGCTAGTGACGACCTTTATTGAGACTAACATGGGCATTATCGCTGGAGTAACATTTGGAATTGCATTCTCGCAGGTAGGATGGAGGCTATTTCCATCTCTTAGTCACACTATTTGTGGAGATAGGAACTTGTCAAATGCTGAAAAGAGTTTTATTATTTTGACTTTTTAAAAATGTTGCACACTTATATTTTAATTGTTTTAAATGTTAGATTAATTGAAACATTTTTTTTTAAATTCTACACTTTTGTTTTATATGGAAGCTTGTTTTCAACACGGAATAAAAATACCTTTTTATCTGGAAATTCTGACTTTTTATCTTAAATTTGTTGTTTACATGTCGCAATCTAACTTTTTGTTTCTCAGAATTGAGATATAAACTTGCAATTTGAAGTAATAAAGTCAGAATTCGCAATTCTGAGAAATAGTTGTAATTCTGAGAGATAAAGTTGCAATTCTAAAAAAATTAATTTGCAATTCTGGGAAATAAAGTCGCAATTCCGACAAAAGAAAGTCACAATTCTGAGAAATAAAGTTGCAATTACCTCTTGTATTTTTTGATTCTGTGCGGAGAATATTCAATTCTACACTTTTGTTTTATTTTATTTTATTCTGTGAATTTTGAGTTTACATCTTGCTAGAGTTTGGTACTGAACTTTTAAAATGTGACACTTTTAGCGCTGTTGAGCAGAGTCGCGGAATCAACTTGGAACTGAAGTTGGTATTTTTTTTTCTCTTAGAATTGAGATATAAACTTGCGATTGTGAGTTATAAAGTCAGGATTCCGAGATAGAAACTCGCAATTCTGAGAAAAAGTCGCAATAGCGACAAAATAAAGTCATGATTCCGAGAAATAAAGTCACATTATTGTTTTTATTCCATGGCAGGAACAAGGCAAGCTTCCATTTTTTAAGCATTAAATGTATTGATCTCTGACATGTATATGTAAATGACCTCTAGATATGACCTCCCGCCCCAAACTCATGCAATTGGTTGATTTTGGTTGAATTCTTTTGATTGGTTGATCTTTTATTTCCTTCATTTTCATCTAGACTTGATGAATGAATCACACTCTAGACCGCCTAGGAATGTTTTTCCTCTCCTTGAGATGCCATAATCGCATCTGAGGCGTTTGCAAGCTAATATTTACTCCAATCTGTTTTCCGTTTACCGCCGAAGCGAGTTGAACAGCTGGCTGGTGTTGTCTCACACAGGTGTAGCGCTATACGCCGTCGAAATGAGTCACTCGGTAGCGCGGCGTGTGCTCACGTCTAAAAGCTGGAGCGAGAGCCGCGCTGCCATGACAACCCCGCGGTGAACGCCGACCCCGAGCTGTCTGTGTTTTCCCAGCCCTCATTTAGTAAACACACATAGACACACATGCGGGAGCCGAGCGTGTGGCGCAGCTGGGGTTTGCTAGCGAACGTGCCGTTTCAAACACAATCAGGCCCTCTGTCACTCACGCTTCCGCCTCGGGACCATTATGCAGATATCTCTCCATCCGTACTAATGGGTCCAAAGGGGCACAGAGGAACACCTCGACCCCTCTGACGCGCACACACCATGCTAATTGAACTGTAAATGTTATCTGCGAGCACACGCGGCCCGAATCAATGACATCTCTTAGAGACGCTGCCCCGCTAATACGTCTAATCTTGCGTAGCGCATGTGGAATTCTTTTGGCTCGGTTAAATGGGAATCGGTAAACATTCATTATGATTATAACTAGAATTTCTTGAGCAGAGCGAACCGTAAACCCAGCAGAGCAGCCGGCAGTAACGACTACCACAATTTAATTTAATTAGCAATTACGTTGGCAGAGGGAGCAAAAAAAAAAAAAAGCTCTGGAAAACAGTTTTACCATGGTAACGGCGCATGTGTGTGTTTCAGCTGATCGGGATGCTGTTGGCCTGCTGTCTGTCACGATTCATCACTGCCAATCAGTACGAGATGGTGTAGCGGCGTGTGCACAGGTGAACTAGGGGAGAGTTTGACGTTATTGTGCTGCAAAGCTAACGGCTCAATGCTCTAATTAGCGTAAAAATTAGGGCTGTCAAACGATTAATCGCGATTAATCGCATCCAAAATAAAAGTTTGTGCTTACAAAATATATGCGGGTGCACTGTGTATAATTATTTTGTGTATATACTGTATGTAAAAAAATATTATTTATATATAAAATATTTGTATATTTTATTTATATAAATCTATATACAGTATATACATGAAAATATTTCTTAAATATATACAAGCATGTGTGTGTATTTATATATATAAAATAATTATACACAGTGCACCCACATATATTATGTAAACACAAACTTTTATTTTGGATTAATCGCGATTAATCGCTTGACAGCCCTAATAAAAATACAAATATCAGACAAAGTATTTAATATTAAATACAATATTTTCAGTATGTGTTTTCCTAGAAGGCAGCCTATTTTGGCATTCTTGTCATGCATAGGCAAGAATATAATATATGAAATGATGAAAATAATGAAAATATTTAATGAAATATAGAATTTCAATAATAATTTAAATAAATATTTTAAATGGTTAAAATTGTGAAAATATTTGATTAAACACATATTAAATATATTAATATATTATTATATTAATTAAATATTAAATATATTTGGAATATATTTTTTAAACATTTATAATTAAAATTATTTTGTTGAATTGCATCAAAATGTGTTTTGTAAATGAACTTGACTATGCCTGTCTAAATATGTGAAGTGGAAAAGGAGATTTTAGAACGAAGGGAAGAGATTTTCAGTGAATAGATTTTCAATAAAGTGTAAAAAAATTGTAAATATCACTTTTTGGTGACTGTGGGCACTATGAACGCTGCTGTGAAAAACTGCACGGAGATTCTTGGAAATGTTTAAACCTCTTTTTCCCGGTTCTACAGGCGCCGAAGACTTATGACACCTTGGAAAGGGAAAGCAACCCGAAAAATGCTAGCACACTCCATTCTTTCTCATCTGTTTTATATTCTCTCTCTGCTTTTATCTTTCATTCTGTCTTTCCTGCCTTCTTTTTCCTCCCTTCCGTCATTCCTTAACTGCAGTTGTGCCATGATGACCAAAGCCTCTCCCTTGGAAACGTCAACGTTAGCAAGGAAAAGGAAATGGTTTTAAGACGCGCTCCTGTATTTTACTTTACTGTACAAAAACCTTGCATGCGAAAACCATCACACACTACAACTACTTCTGTAACACCACGTCCTAACCTCTCGCAATCGATATCTCAATCCCTCTCTGGCTGTGTTTCAAATATGTTCAGATTAGCTGTGATTTTGTCAATTTGCACAGAATTTTCTATTTCAGACAGAGAAAAACGCGACTTAAGTGATTTGTTAGTTATTTATCAAATTTTTTTCTTAGCTATATTCCATTTTGCTTAGTTTGCACTTGGTAGCTCCGCCCACAGTGAAATCTCATTGGTCCAGATAGCTGTGTATGTTCTGATTGGCTATTTTGTGGCTTTGCGCAGTATTTTTACTCAGTGTTGGCATAGCAATTACTTTCCATTCAAAACTTTGCACACTTGGCTAGGGCATGGTGTTACTTGACCCCTAAAAAGTGACTTCAATGCAGATTTGTTAGTTACGTACTGTTTAAGGAGGAAAAACTTTTAAAAAAGAAAAAAATTATTGTTGTTGTTGCTGTTGTAAAATCTTTGGCAAAGGGGTTTATCTCATAAATTGCTTCTTTTTTTTGTCTTTTATGATTTGGATTAATTATTTTTTGCTCCACTTCTCAACGCCAGGTTGAAAGTGACTCGACATAATCATGTACAGTCAATTTTGTCTTGTTGTGAAAGCCAAAAACAAGCAATTTTCTGCCACATCCAGTTCAAACTGGAGTGTGAACATCACAACTAGTGGTTTTACAAGCAGATATTTCAGAGTAGTAACTAAACACTCAAATTCCACCGTTTATGGATTGTAGTTACAGTTTTACACCATATCTACCTTGTGACACACTGTTTGATTTATTTTGTGGTGTTTTTCTGTAAGAATGTAATCACACAGAGCGTCTCTTTCAGCATTGAGGATGTTCTTGCTTTGAAGCTCAGAGAATTTTCAGTTATTTTCAAGTAATATTTGCATGAGAAATATGAAAGAATTTTGGAATGACAAATTATATTTCTAAGGATGCTATATTGTTTGAAAACAATTCAAATGTTATACTATATATATATATATATATATATATATATATATATTACTCACTATAAACAATCACAACGAGATGGAGCCCCTAGAAGGGACATGGTGATGGATATATATATATATATATATATAAATTGTTTAATGCTTTTACGTTCACTCGCAAAACTTTTGAGAAAATGCAAAATCATTGAAATATTTTTCCGCCACCATGTCCCTTTAGGGGCTCCGTACAACCAGATCACAGACAACTGGAAAAAAAGTACAAAGTAAAAGAAAATGGTCACGGTAGAGTGATTATGCTGGCAGGAGAACAGCTCTTAAAAACAGATGTCTAGTTACGCTGGAGAAATTTGATTTACAGCTCTATCAAGAGGAATAAATGCAGATTTTCTGGAGGTCTGAGTCAAAGGAATTCCAGAATCATCACTATCATCAAATGAGCCAGGCTTTAGTGACCTCTGTTGTTTATTTATTGTTTATTTATTTACATTCGTGGTAGAAATCGCTGCAGTCTTTGGCTTTCTTTAATTTCGAATCGTTCTGTGAAGTATTCCATATTTACGCGTGTCAATGTGCATCTGTCATTTTTTATTTAATTTTGTGTTGCTGTTTTGTATGGTTTTCTCATTGATCATTAATTTTATTATCACACAGACTTATAAATATTATTAATATGTTAACAATCATTTCTGCAGCTGCCCCATGTGTTGATGGGTCATTAAGTATTAGAGTCCAGAATTCATAGTCTGAAAACACGTGATGAACTACACACATCTTCAAATAGACGAGCGGAGTAATACTATATACTTTGTATAATAAAAATAAAACTTTTTAAAATGCACCACCAGCTAGCATGCCAACAAAATGTACGTTGATATTGTAAACTACCGTGATCTCTATGAATAAAAATGGTTCTTCGTCGTTACCAGCTTCTATTTTGTCGTTATTTGAAATGTGTGTGTATTGTTTGAACTGGATGGATGGATTCCCGTGGGATCATGTCGTGTGAAAGCTTGTTTTATTGTTTGTTACTCCCTTCCTGACCGCTAGATGGCACCACGATGTTGTTGAAAAACGTAACGACAGGAGACCTCCGTGAACGGGGAAAGCCCATGCAAACATGGATCTTGGTGCAGATATGTGTCATCTGAGGACTCTGAGATCATCAGCAGATGTTATAGTCGCCCCCCCCCCCCCCCTAAAGTTTTTAAACACTTTAAGGAATAGTTTACTCAAAAATTAAAATTCAGTCATCATTTAGCCTACTCGCTCTCAAGTTGTTCCAAACCTGAATGCGCGCTTCTTTCTTCTGCTGAACACAAAAGAAGATATTTTGAAGAATGTGGATAACCAAACAGTTGATGGACCACATTGACTTTCAACGTGAAGGTGAGTAAATGATTACAGAATTTTCATTTTTGGGTGAACGATCCCTTTAAGTCCCACTATCTAATGTCCGAAAGTGACATTGGTGACTGAACGTTCTGCACTAACATTTCAATAGCCTGTTTTAATCTCATTTTGAACAGTCTATCTATTGTTTTATCACTTAAAACCCAAACAAACTTTTTGTGACGTTTGTACCATATCTTTCTGTACAATAAATTCCACTTGTTTCCTTGATATTATTACACAAAACAATGACTGAAAAAGTGTGCAAATACTTTTTGGTGCCGCTGTATGTAGATCTGCCTTTGATTTTTGACTTTCACCCTTTCCCCAAATGTCATATTATTAGCACATATTAGGCATAATAGCCTATTTGCAAGTTCGCATTTGGATAATTCCACTGATCAGTTTGCATTCAGTCTCCTCAGAAATAACCTTAGCACGTACAAATGAAGTATATGATCGTGTATTTTGTATAGAAGTATAGACTGTGTATTTTGGTCTCTAAAAAGTACCTTTAAATGGCTTTTATCTTTTATAAAAAACGCCTTTCTAATGATGTGAGGAGACGGCAAAGTATTTTTCCCCCCCCCCGAAAGTTTATGACTGTTTCTGTAGGCTATTCTTTTTGGCATATAAAGCCATACTATTTGGCCTGTTCTATATAAACCGTGTTTTGGATTTAAAAAACTCCGAAGTGAAAATAAATCGATAGAATAACAGTTTTTGGCACTAACGAGTAGTAAGGTAGGCTACTTTCATCAGTCCGGTACTTCCCTCGTACACTACACTACACTACACTACACTATCCCTTTCTTCCAAACTGTCGTGTCTTTGACCGTGAGCTGCAGGCTTGGCACGTTGCCGGATTCCCTTTCTTCCCTGTGATTGGCTGCTGACAGTCGCCGTCCTCCTGGATGAACTAAGCAACTGGCTTCTAATTGGACTAGAGCGGCTGAGCGGTTGTGGGCTGATGCTTCGTCTCATGAATATTCATAAGCGCCAGAGAGCTACATGTGGCCTCACCCTCGGTCGGTTGGTAGACGAGTCTATTATCTTTCAGCGACTTTATCGCCGGTTTCCTTGGACTTTGCCGGACCTTTTCGATTCAAGAGAGGATAAATATCAGCAAAGGTGGGTATTTAGAAGCCTATATGATTTGTTAGACTTGATAGATTGACGCTTAGTTTGCCGGCCGGCTTTTTCCTCAGGAAATAAAGGAGTGGTAGGAAGCGAGTATCACGTTCAGAATTACTTAGCGTTTTAAAATACAAATTTAAAGTTGAGCAGGTTTAGTTTTACTAAATACTTAAAATAATTGAACCGTTTCATCTCAAATATTATAGAAAGATTAAGTATTATTTTTATATCTTGCTTTCTCTCCCAATTTTTTTATTTTCACACTGATATTCTATTTTGATTATGTAATATTGTGTGCATCAACCCCTAATCTTTCACGCATGTTATTTCAGGTCACATTATCCTGTTACAACCTGGTTACACGCTTGATTGACGTGTGGAAGCCACACCCTTGCTTTAAATCCACCTGCGCTTTCAAAAACGAATTCATCTGAAGCGCACAAGGGATCTGAGCACTCCCAGGACAAGAATAATAGCGGATAAACCCTCTATTAGATCTACCTGAACCGTCCAGCCCAAGAATAACTACATCTGCTGCTTTTTATATTGTCTACACAGAGCCTTAAAGCCTTGTTCTGCATTTAAACCCTTCAGGTCAAGAGGACAGCAAAGATGATGCAAATCTGCGACTCCTACAACCAAAAAAACTCTCTCTTCAATTCCATGAACCGGTTTATTGGTGCCGTGAACAACATGGACCAGACGGTCATGGTGCCAAGTTTGCTGAGGGACGTCCCGTTGGACCAGGACGAGGAGAAAGAGGTGAACACCTTCCAGGATGGAGACATGTACGGCTCTTATGTGCTCCTCAAATCAATTAGGAACGATATCGAGTGGGGCGTGCTTCAAGCCGACGAGAGGCGCAAGGACAAGCACGGGGTGACAACATCCCTGGAAGTGTCTCGAATCGAACCAAACGATGAGGACTTGGAAAAGCTGTTTCATTATCATCTCACTGGACTGCACACCGTACTGTCGAAGCTTACCCGAAAAGCGAACACTCTAACAAATAGGTACAAGAAGGAAATTGGTATAGGCGGCTGTGGGAATTGAAACCAACTAGAGTTGACTCCATTCATCGCCGGTGGACCGTAAAAAAAAGGTTCACAAGAGGGTGCAGCAGGGGTTGAATCCAAATGGGCCCCTGGTGGCTTCCGTGCATTTTTAGTTCCCCGGATCGAAAAAAAAAAAAAGACTTGTACCTGACGCCGGTTTACAAGCACCCTTAATTCCCCTGCTAACATCCCTTGATATTGTTTGCACAATCTTGGAAACAGGCTTCTGAAACTAAACACATTGTATTTAAATAAGCAAACATTTTGAAAAAAATATATGCAAAAGACATTTCATGGCCTGGTATGGTAGTTTTGGAGGTTGTATTAATGTAGATTATAACAGTTTAAAGCTGGGGGGGAGAATAAAAATGACTAATTCTGTATAAACCGCACATTTCTACGCTAAAGAGTGGCTGGTACTTTATCTTTTTATGGTGCTTAATTTATGATGGAATCGCATGATGGTCCGTACGGATGTTGACTGATTCCAGGAGATTACGTCACAGTTACTGTTGGTAATAGAACGAATGTTGTCATGTATTTTTTTTTTTCTATCACAAAGATGGTTCCGAAAATAAACGTTTTCTAAATGCAACTACTCTGCAAGTGTTTGATTTCTGAGTGAACTTACTTGTGACTCATTTCCTTCTTGGGTGTCCTTGCAAAATATCCCTTCACAGTATGCCAATAGTGTGGTGCTCAGTAAACACCGGCCTGTGTTGGTGCGCACAGCTGCTGCTGAGGTCCGCTGAGGGATCAGACACGTTAAATTAAGACCTGGCAACGTCTGAGAGAGCCGAGCACCTGCAGTGCATTTTTCCAGTTCGTACTGCTGAGTCACTGCTTGAGCTGCACTTAATGATGGACGTCTCTAAATCTAAGCTGCCCACGCTAGTTTAATACCTCGATTAAGAAAAAAGTCAAGGAATCTTAGCTGCAGTTTTCTACAGTCAATCCGTCGACATTTAAATGTATTAGTAAAGACAGACAGACTTTTTTGCCAACAAATAATCTATATTTGTCCCAAAAAGGGGGTTGATTTGTCTTAAAATGTTGAGTCAGCCAAATGTAATGCATACTAAAATCCTGTATTCTAATACAATAAGGTTTTTCCAAATCATATGGTAAACGTACTGTAATCAGGATCTTTACACTGATAAAATGTAATGTAAAATGAAAACAGACAAGCACAAGACAAATTACACTGATAAAATGTCGCCGCCGTAAAGTGCAAACACAAAAAAGGACATATTTACATTAAAGGAGTTCACTTTTGAAAAAACTTTTGCTGATAATTTACTCACCCCCATGTCATCCAAGATGTCCATGTCTTTTTTTCGTCAGTCGAAAAGAAATTAACGTTTTTGATGAAAACATTCCAGCTTTTTTCTCCATATTATGGACTTCAATGGGAACCAAACGGTTCAAGGTCCAAAAGACAGTTTCAGTGCAAACTGTTCAAAGGGCTTTAAACAATTCCAGACGATGTATAAGGGTCAAGCGAATCAAGCGAAACGATCGCTCATTTAAAATAAATAAATATGAAGTTTAAGTTTCATAAGCTAAAATGTTCGCCTTGCTCTGTACTGCGACGCGCGTTCGTGACTCTCCTGTTCGAACTCGTTCATCAAAATGGAACAAATCTTTTTTCCGTGTCAGTTCGTACGTTTCGTTCATTTTGTTGAACGAGTTCGAACACAAACGTGTGTCACAGAACAAAGCAAGGCGAGCATTTGAGCTTATAAAACTTCAACTTTGTTATTTATTTATTTATTAAATGAGCGATCGTTTCGCTTGATAAAACCTTTATTCATCGTTTGGAATCGTTTAAAGCATGGTATGTCATAGAGGCAAGGTATGTGCCATCCAGGTGGTTACAGCAATGGGGACTACAAACCAAGATGGCCACCTCGTCCTGGACTACAGTCACCAGGTTCCTCAGCGGTGGGGACACAGCTGCTGTGAGTGAAGGAGAAAAGCTGTTAATGGGCTGAGAACAGAGAGAGACTGTCTGTTTTTGTTTGAGAAGCATAAAGTGAAGAGTTTTTGTTTTTTTAATGGAGTGTTGAGTTGATCTATTAAACGAAACAGTGACTTGATCTCTGCCTGGACTCGATTTGTGAACCAACTCACACTTTGATGATACCCTACGTCTCACGATACCACAAGCCCTTTGAACAGTTTGCAGTTTGTACTGAAAGTGTCTTTTGGACCTTGAACTGTTTGGTTCCCACTGAAGTCCATTATATGGAGAAAAATGCTGGAATGTTTTCATCAAAAACGTTAATTTCTTTTCCACTGAAGAAAGAAAGACATGGACATCTTGGATGACATGGGGGTG